GTGTGTGTGTGTGTGTTCATCTCCATGTTTGTATGTCCCAGTTGTGTCATCCCTCAGAGCAGCAGAACGTTGAGGTTGCTCTGCTCCATGTGTTCAGTCCCAAACTCTGCTACAGCAAAACTCTCCCACTCCTCCTCCTCTTCCTCCTCTCCTTCTACTTCTCGCCTCATTTCAACTTTTTCTCCCCCATATACCTCAAATCAGTGCGTCTCACTCAATCTGTCCACTCACCATCCTTTCCCTACTCTCGGCCCTGTCTTTCACCTACCTGAACCTCGTCCATCTCCTGCCATTTCTCATGCTTTCTCACCCATTCACTCAGTAATTCGAGTGTCTTTCACCCTCTCTGCACCCTCTTTCTTTCTCTCTCTCTCTCTTACTGCTCTGTCCTTCTCCCACCCTCCTAATCAGAACCATATGTTGGAGACGGAGGCAGAGAGATCTGACGATGGACAGGATTGCGTTGTATGTGGAGAGTGTGCTGGAGCCAACAATGTGCGTGTGTGCAAAAGTGGGCACGCATACATGCTTGTGTTTGTGCTTGAGATGTGTGTGTGCACACGCATGGTCACGTGGGAGTCTGATAGCACGTGTGGTCCAGATTTCATAAGATTTCAGTCTCTTCTGGCTGTCAGTCCTTCCGCTTCTCCTCTGCTCTGGGTTTTTCTATAATCCTCCAGTCTTTCCTGTCTTTCTGTCACCTTCATCTCTCCATCCTCTTAACACCTCTCTATTCATCACCTCTCTGCTTCCCCCTGGTGGCTGTGATTATTCACACGTTCTCATTCTTCTTGTACCCTCCAAGTCTAGTAGTGCTTTGTAATGCATTTGAATAGTTTTGCTGAAATGTGACATGCAGTGTGTGTGTGTGTGTGCGACATGATTATAATTTGTTGACCTACGTCTCTTCACTCAAATATGTTGATATTGAAAAATGTGGCAAAACTCATTCAGTGCCATACACAGCACATTACTCTGTGTGTGGTCCTCATCATGTAGCATACATAAAAATGAAAAAATCGAGTAAAGTGGCTCTGACTCACAGGTGAACCTACAATCTGCTGGTGAATGTGAAAATGATTCACTAAGTAAAATAGACTTTTATATTGCAAGTCATCTTCAAAAATAATTGTGTCTGATGTGAGATGGTGCAGCCCTCACCAAAATACTGATTCTTGTCTGGTCTGATGCGTGCTGTGACATCATGTACTAATTTCTTATTCTTTCTGCTCCACCCTCCTTTTCCTTTTCTTCTCTCCCACTGCCGTCAACTCTCTGTCCGTCTGTCCGTCTGTCTGTCTCTCTCTTTCTCTTACTCCAGCAACCATGGGCAAAAGACAGGAGCAGAGGGGAGAGAAAAAGTATGTGAGCTCTCCACTGCAGTATTGATGACCCAATGATCCCCTGCAGAACAGAGCCAGTCAGGCAGACACAGCAAGGCTCAACTCAGAATCAAAATCAGAATCAGCGCCACGACCGATCGGTGAAAGCAAGCGGCCGAACAGGATATGAATGGTAAATGTAATCTAATGGTGTAATGCTGCTGTGTGGGTGGCACAGTTAATAGAATAGAGTGCATTACAGATTAGGTTTATGGCCCATTGCCAAAAAAATGGTGGACGATTCCCTCACACAATTCCATCTGTGCTGCAAATGTTTGATTTGCATTTTTTCCTGTATGTTTGATGCCTAAAATTACCAGTATATTTAGCAGCAAAGAGTTTAGATTAAATGTATTAATTGCAACAACGAAACTTATTTGCAGACTTTCTATTCAGTTTATGATTTTTTTGCCCCCCTCAGGTCCTTGAAACCTCTTGCGAGCTGCCAGAGGAAGACAGCAACAAAGAAGAAAACACTCATCTACATTCAGCAGAAAACATCCCCCTTTTTGCACCCTCACTACCAGCACAACCATACACTGAATGAGTGGCTTGTCAGATCACCTATTTTCCAGCCAGTCTGGGGCACTAGTGGGCTGTGGTGGAAATCAGGCAGAGGAGAAAGGGTGCGTGGGAGGGCTGGAGGAGCTGGAAGGGCCTGAGCTCTGGACCAGGGAGCTTGGGTTCCAGGCGGAGTTCCCGGACCCCTCCAACAATGGACTGGCACTGGTGACCTCTGACCTTACCGCCTCCCCACCCTCTGCCCTGGCCAACGGCCTCCACCTACAGAGAAGGCTGGGGCTCAACACCTGTCGGCGGAGACAGACGCAGACTCACACCGCTGCTGAGACACACGCATTTGCAGAGACATTTAAAAACATGCAGACGCACATAGACCCAGATATGCATGCGCACATGGATAATTGTGGACACATGGATGTCAATGCACATACAGGTTCTGTTGGGCCTGAGCACTCCAGAACTCTTACACCTGAGGCCATACACACAAACTCACCTCAACCCCTGTCTTTGGCGCTTGGCAATCATCCTGCCTCCACCAATCAGCTGGCAGCCCCAGTCCTCAAGGCAGAGAAAGACATTCCCTCAACCTTTTTCCCTATCGGCCCAAACCAAACCCCTGACTCCTCTCCTCTCCCTGTGGAGGCTGAGAAGAAGTATGCACTCCGCAGCTCTGGACGTCCTCGCTTCCCCTGTCACCTGCGCAAATCCTCCCGCCTCCGCCGAAGCATGGAGGACGGGGAGAAGAGGGCAGTGAAGGAGAGGGGAGGAGAGGAGGAGTTGGAAGCATTAGAGGAAAAGATTTGGAGGGTAAAAGAAGAGGAGGTGGCTGTTAGCAAGAAAGAAGAGCATTCGCCTGCTGTTCTTCGGGCAGCTGTTCTACCCGCAGCCCCCTGTCCTACAGATATCGCTCTTGCTCTTACTGTAGCCAAACCTGCTCCTAAAGCTATACATAAACCTGGGCCCAGACTTGGACATAAACCTGGACCTAAATCAAGGTCTAGGCCTGCACCGAAATCTGTCCAAAAAGCAGCTCCTAAAAGTGTAAAACAGCGGCAGGCAGCACAGTCCATTGCTCGTCGTGTTACCCCTCACCTCCCATTTATAAACACATCCACCATTGCTGCATCTCTGCTAGCTGTGAAGGAGGAACCTGTTGCACAGTTGGGGGTATGTCCTCCTAATAACCGGAGGTGTAGACGATTTGTCGGCGTGAGTTTATTTATTATCACATATCACTGTAGTTACTCATAACACTTTACACCATATACATATCATATATGAAGTGTATATTTTAACAAATTGCAATTGATTTGATTTTTTGTTGGTCTATGCTTTTCAGGTGAGGAAGATTGTCGTCAAGGTAGCTCGCATTCCAGTCAGCCTCAGTCGCCGACAGAAGAGCTACAAGATTTCCAATCTGGAGACAGTTACAGGGACAGAGAAAGGCAACGATGGCAGTCTGGAGGGCTCAGAGGCCATTCGAGAGCCCACTGCACTTCTCCGCATGAAGAACAACGGGAAGAGTGTTATGGTGATGTTCCCTCCTGGAGAGCTGCCTGTTATTCTCAAACGCAGGCGGGGTCGACCACCCAAACAGGCTCTGCCAGGAATACCGGGAGAGCCTCCAAATACTGGCAGCGCTAGTGGTAATGGAGACCAGCCCAAAAAGCCCCGGAGGCGACGTCGGACTAAACTCCCTTCTCCTTATCCATCTTATGTTAATGATACTAATGATGTGAAAACAGAGTACGGGGATGTTCTGTCCAAACTGGCCTTTTTAAACCGCCAGCCCCCTGCCACTGGCCGTTGCTCTCCACCTCGATGCTGGACACCCAGTGAGCCAGAGAGCTTTCATGTGCCCTTGGAAAACCCTGGAATATCCACCCTGCTCCACCGCCTCACTGGGTTTAGACGCCCGCGGGGTGGCAGAGGAGGTGGCGCTGGAAGAGGTGGTGGAGCAGCCGGGGGGATTGGGGGCAGTGAGCACAATAAGAGCACCTTCAGTGACTTCTTTGAATCCATTGGTAAGAAGCGGAAACTGAGCCCCATGTCTGAGCATGGATTACCAAGGAAAAGAGGGAAGGGTGGGGTCGGTAGGGGAGGAGGTGTCGTAGGAACTGAGCCTGGCGTAGAGAAAGTAGTCAAGAAGAAACGTATGAGGAAAAATGGCGCATTTAAAGGGGAGGGGGTGTTCATGGGGCAGGACTGGCCCAATGGGGTAGGTGGCTGGGGGGAGGAGGGATGTTTGGAGAAGGAGAAAGGTTTGGGTGGGTTTCAGCTCTGTGGATCACCAAGGGGGGGCTTTTCATCCTGTGAGGTAGGAAGGGGGGGTGCCTACAGCAGTCCAGGGGGAAGCAGGGGCATTGGGCCAGCGGGGGAGGACTCACAAAGCCTGTTCGCTGGATATTTCCGGTCACTACTTGACTCTGATGATTCGTCAGACCTGCTGGACATGTCCTCGCAGTCAAACTCCCGCAAAACTTCATCCACCCCTGGTTATGAGCCATCCAGCCCAGCTCCTAGTCACAGCTGGGCCCCTGCATTTTCCAAGTGGTGCTCCAAGGGTGCCAGTTCTGGGGTGGAGGGTTCAACGCAAACACATTGCTCCTCAGCCAGGCCTCCATACAGCTACAGCAACCTGGCCCAAACATCACCCACCACTTCAACCTATCCTAAATCCACCCCTCCATCTCTCTCGCACTCTCCTAGCTCTCCACATCCTGCCTCTTATGGGCACTACTCCTCTGGCTACTCCTCCTCTCCTGCAGTGTCACAGCGATCCTCAGATTGCAGCTTTGCTTATGGGTCTGGACACAGCAGCGGTAAGGCCACCTCTGTCGGCCAGATTGGTTTTTCTAGCTACCAGGCAGCAGCCAAGCGGGGCTTTTGTGGATATCCGGCAGCAGGTCATTCCTCCATGGTGCGGGGGGAGACCACAGGACCCACATCACCTGGAGGAGGGTACATGTCAGTGGCCAGAGGCAGCCCATTTAGCTCCTCCCAACAGTACAACTCCAATCAATGGAGCTACAGGTAAATCACTTGTATAAAAAATACTCATAAACAAATTTTGCGAATTTAAGGCATTGCTGAGTTGCTTTTTCACACAAAATCTGACTTGGTGTAAATGATGTAAGTGATTTCATGTTTTCTTCAATTAAAAGGAGAAGTACAAACTAGTAAAAGTCTGACCATGGCAGGATCAAAGTGATGTGATTTGCCAAATATTAATGTGGAATTCAAGCTCATCAGTTTCAATTTTTACATGTCCACCATGTGCTAATTAACTGTCCATACCTGACATTAGTTAACTTGGGGCAAAAATGTGCACCGTGGTTATACACCGTCGGAATGCATAATTACAACCCACTTACTGAGGGGTCTCTTCAGGTTCTAGTTACTGTTTGGTGGAGCAGCAGCAAAGGGGAGTGAAAATTGAACCAATTTTTTCAAGATATATTGTGTTTTGTAATTGGTGTTGCTATTTATATGTTGTTGTTTTTTTCTTCAGACAAGGTTATGGCGGCTGGCCAACAGACGGCTTCGGGCCTCAGTATCATGGCTATGGTGAATATGGCTCCAATGAGTCCAAAGACATCCTGGATATCTCAAACTACACCCCCCAGAAGGCCAAGCGACAACCTTTTCCTGAAAGCCTGTCAGAATCCTCCTCTGACTCTTTGCATCTAGGATCTGCAGCGACTGGTATGCCACCGAGCTCTGCAGGCGGCACATTCAAACTGACTGAGGCTGTCTCTGTTAGCGGAGAAGGGGGTCAGTCGAGTCTGTCCAGCCTGGAGAAGTTGATGATGGATTGGCACGAGAGCGCTTCGGGGCCCTCGTATAACTGGAGCCAGAACGTCCTCTTTCAGGGTGGCGGAACCAACAAACCTGGCCGCGGCCGCAGGAAACGGACTGAGCCCCAATCAGAAAAAGATGGTGTTTCTACTTTACACTCTGATTCCCAATCCAGTCCCTCACCAACGCCTATTCCTGGACCTAAGCGAGGAGGCATCGGTGGACGGGGCAGAGGGTCTAGAGGTGGTAGAGGGGGGTTGTCTCCATGTCAGAGAGAGCGGCCTAAAGGCAGGGGCAAGGCTTCCTCTACGTGTGGAGCAGGAGGAATAGTGTCTGCTGGAGGCACAGAGGGGTCTGGGTTGTTCCAGGAGGTGCTGGACTATTACAGCGGTGACAGTAGCAGCCTCTCTCCCCTGGCCACTCCCAATCCTGCACCCCCCCCCAGCTACCTCCAGGACCCCTGTGAGTACCCCTCCCCTTATTCTGCTCACCCCTCCACACCTTCCTCTGAGGAGCGATATCCAGCCTTATACCCTGGAGAGTCCTCCTCTTCCCTCTCACCAGGTGTCTCATCTCCCCCTTACCCTCCCAAGCCCACCCCTCCTCCACCCCAGTCTTACCACCCGGTCCCGTCCAGGACCTTCTCCCCCTCCTGCTCCCCCTCACCACGGGTAACATCCCACTGCAGCACTGCACTGAGTCCCTCACATCGCCCCCCTGCGAAAGACCCACAGTTCTCCCAGTACGACTCCCCCAGCTACTGCAGCTCCCCCTATTGGTACGGACAGACATCGCACAGCGGAAGCCCCAGCCCACACTCACACAGCACACACTCAAACACAGCTGTGCACGCACACAGCAACCCGCATACGAGTCCTCACGGAAACGCACACGGTAATCCGCTCACTAGCCCGAACGCAAACACACACACCCATATAATCCAGACTCCCCACGACACGCACCATCACAACACTCAGCCGCACGCAAACCTAAGCTCACTCACTAACACCCATCCCACCTCGCACCTCCAGAGCAGCCCCCTCACTCACTCCAACAATCAGCCCCACCACAATGCACACACCAACCCCAGCACTCACCTCCCATCCCACACGCACTCAAACCCCAGCCCCAGCCTCCTCTCCCACTCTACACCCCTGCTTTACGAGGAGCGAAGCCCTCCCTCCGCCATGAGCGCCCACAAGCGGGATCTGACCCCCCATCCCATGAGCACAGGCCACCGCCAAGGCCCCCTGCCTCACTCCTCATACCTCAAGCCTCCCCTGGACTCCTCGCCCCATCAGGAGGACACTAGTGGCTTCTCTCTGTCCCACCAGGCCTACCAGGGCATGGGACACCGTTACCCCTCCCAGGTGGCTCAGGGTGGTGGGGTGCTGTGCCAGCTCTTGGACCCAGCCAATGATGAAAGCTTCAGCGTCACCAGCCTGTAACAGCAGGTGGGTTTATTTAACCTTAAAACAAACACTGAGGCCATCAAGGAGGATGACCATACTTCTTGATAAAAAATGTGTAGAAAACCTTGCCAAGTGTTTTGAAAGTGGTTCAATACTTGATATTCAATTGGATGATGAAGCTTTGATAGTTTTATCAGACAAGTCACATTTTAAATGTTAATTGCAGCAGCTGAACATAGTGAGAGTTTGGCGTCAAGGCTCCTAAACCTGGATATGATTACATAGATATAATGGGGAGTGATCTTTAACTAACCTGTTGGCATCTACAGGTGAATGCTGGGGTGAAAATCTTTGCACATTGAATAGGCCACCAAATTGGGAAGGTGTGCATGATGGAGAGAGGCATGTCACATTGCCACCCAGCTCAAGTCCACTGCCTGAACTAGCTCACAACCGTCGCTCCATTTGTTTTAATTAGTAAATGAATAAGAATTACAGTCAGCTTTAGTAGCAGTTTCACAAAAAAGTTTTATCCTATAGTTATATCTAAAAATATCTGGATAGAAAACAGTTTTTAAATAGCTTTTGCCAGATTATATAAGCCCATTTCTAAAGATGAAATCTAGGATTTGAATGTGTTTCACGGTAACTTGTGTTTCAAAATCATTCCCTGTGGATAAAGCTGGACTGCATGAAGGCTCCCCAAAAGTGAAGCCATAGTCTCTCGATCACTTCCTAGTGGCCGGCTGCAGTATAGGTCACAAACCCTGCTTCCTCCATGTTAGCAGATGGGACATGGACATAACTATATCTGTCTGTTACACATCATGTATGTATCTGAAGTGAAAAAGTTTATTTAGTTTGGTTTTAATTAATTATTTGACGTTGTAAAAAGGGGGTGAAATGTCAGGGAGACTGACTCGTGATTGGTCAAGCACGTGTATTCTCAAGACCTTGATACTGCAGCTCCATCCCCTGAACACTTCTGTGCAGACCTGTGCTCCAAATAGCATCATCGGCCTAAGATGGCAGTGTTTGTATCCGGGATACTTTACCTTCAATTTTGGACAGTGGGAGGAAATGGGGATGCATCGTCCATCTTTATTTACAGCCTACAGTCAAAATATGTTCAAGCTGTGATACTCAATGTAAAATTGAGTTTAAGTGCAAAAAGGTCAACAGTCCAGACATACTTACTGCATTACTTTAAGAACCAAATCAACCTTTTTACAGGGATATGATAAAATATAGTCAAGGTGTATTTCATTCAATTTATATTATTATTCTTTTCTTTATCTTTGTCTAAAATATCTGCCTCATATTACTCTCTTTTCCTCATCTGTATCTCTCTCCCTTTGTTTCTCTTCCAGGTGCATTCAATCCAAGCTTTTACAGATTTGCAAACATTGTTTTTCCTTTTTTTGTTAAGGAGACTTCTTTGTGAGAGACTGTGAAAATGAAGGTTGAGAATTTAGCTGCCAGCTTTGGACAGTAAAGCTTTAATTCTCCAGCACTGACAATCAAAAATCAGCCACAACTTAACACACCCAAGCATGTGCACACACAAATGCATACACACACACACACACACACACACACACACACACACACACACGAATACAGACAAGCATGTGCAGATCAGTTCACTACCTAAACATGACCACATAGAATCATACATGTGTACACTCACTCACACTCTGTGCTGGAATGAGGGAATGGCCAGGAGGAGCTGACAGATGAAAGCCAGATGCTGACGGACAGAGACAAACCTATTTCCTCATTCCGTTGAGTCCTGCTGTGGTACATAGAGGACTCCGTTTCCCAGAAGTCTGTATCTCACCAAAATCTTTCTGGTCTTGTTCTGTACATCTGCAATATGGACAAACTCGGAGCATGCTGCTCTATCTGTCTCTCTCTCTTTTTGTTTCTCTCCTCTGTCCTCCCCTCCCCTTCTTTGCTAAACCAGCAACCGCGTTCTGCACTCGACTCACAACACTGTCATATCTGTCTCGTGCTCCAACCTGAACCGCATCTGAGCCCAAAATCTACTTTTTGAATACCATGAGCCTTGCAAATGTCCTGCTCTGTGCACTCCTTGTGTTGTGTCCCATACGAGAAAAAGTGGACAAAATAATGTTTCTGCTCTTGAAATACCAGCATCTGTACATACGACTTCAGCTCCAAGCCAGGGGCCCCCTCTTCACTCTGAGGGTCCGCCATAGTCATGCCCTCCTCAGCGTTCTGCCATGGTTTCTCTGCTCTGTGGGGGGGGATGGGTTTCTGGTGTGGGGGTGGTATTAGGGGGTGGAGGGGGGCTGCAGCATGGAGACTCAACATCATGTGTTTTGATGTTTTAAACTACAAGGGAAAGAGACATTGAAATCATAAAAATGGCCCCAAAGAGACTCTTGTTTTTCTGTGTGCAAATGTGAGACAGAGGGGGTTGTGTTTGCGTGACTGCAGTAATGCATGTATTTGTGTGTGTGTGTGTGTGTGTGTATGTGTGTGTGTGTGTGTGTGTGTGCGTGCGTGCGTGCGTGCGTGCCTATGGGGTCAAAAGGAGTGAAGCTCCCCAGACACCAAAGTCTTGGCGGGGCCTCATTCTTTCTTTCACTCTCTCTCTTCTTTTTTCTGTGGTCTTGTGTTGTTTGGTGGTTTTTGTGATGAAAAAAAAATGTATATCTGTCTGTTACATATCATGTATGTATCTGAGGTGCAAAATATTTAAATACACATTCTGTTCTTGCCATTGGTAATCCTGTCTATAGCATACTGCTTCTTTAAGGGATTAAGGGAGGTGTGAGCATGTTTGTGTGTGCGTTTTAGAACCTCCCTGAGTATTGGGCTTTGCCCAGGCTGTCTGGGACTGGGAGCGAGAGAGTTCAGTCAAGGACACAATTCGACAGGGAACGCAAGGGTGGGGAGGAGAGGAATGGATGGCGGGGAGAGTAGGGGAGGATGTGTTGGAGGGAAAGAAAGAAACCAGACTCAGGAAATCAGAAAAGAGTGTCGGAGAGGTTTTAAAGCCACTGAAACAAAAATGCACAAAAATGTACTGTTGCAAGATTCCTCATCCAAATAAGGAACTGAACTAAAGCACAGCGTAAAGGCTGCTGCAGAGAACTGACAGGAAGGAGGGACCTATATATGTTGTCTTGGGGAATCATGCAATAGTATAGAAAATAAAATGTGTGTGTGTGCGTGTGTGTGTGTGCACCACACACAAAGAGAAAGCAGATGGGGACAGTTTACTGGCTGCATATTCTGTACAGTTTGTCAACAGGCTGACTAAATAGACTCAGACATGGCCAGAGGAAATGTGTTTGCTGTGACATTCCACTGTATGGTGGAAGGAGACATGCACTGTCAACAACATGACATGACAGACAGAGAGAAAGAGGAGGAAGATGCAGAGCAACAGCTCCCTCACGTACTTTATTTCTTTACCGTATATTTATGCAAAATAACAGCTTTTAATTTAAATATAAAACATAATTTCTTGTGCTGAACTCAACCACCAATTTCCCCATAGAGGGACGAATTAAGGAATCGTATATATTTTGGAAGTAAAAGGATGGAAATCTGAACTCTTTTTTCTTCTCAGTATCAGATATTTTACTCAAGTAAGTAAAAGCAGAAATACCACAATAGAAGATCACTCAATTATAAGTCAAATTATTTCATGCAAAAAAAACTTTCCAAGTCAAAGCATTTATTATGCAGTAGAATGCCCCCTGTCTGTTATATATATATATTACATGATTTGATTAGGGATCTTTTACAATGTGAGCAGCATTATAATGTAGCTGCTTAATGGGGAGCTTCCACTTTTTGAACAGTTGAATTGTATAATCTGCAACTGTGCATCAGGCATGTGATGTTTCAATTTAGTTTTTAATATCAAATAAATGATGTGGAGTAAAGGGTAAAATATTTGAAATGTGACACCCTGTCCAGTATCAGAGTATTAACTAAAGTAGTCCCACTACTTAAAGACTAGTTAAAGCAGCCTACACTATAATGACATGACTAAAAGTACTTACAGGCCGCAAACATAATGAAT